GGTATCAGAGGACTCATTCTTCCTTCGGAACAAGTCATCACAAAGTAAACTAAACAGTACTGTCTTCACGTGAGTTCCACATTACTTTTCACTTGAACGTCTAAAGGCGACTGTAATACACCGTTTTTCCTGAAATTCATGATGGCAGTAAGATGGACATTCCTTAGGAGCATGAGAACACTAGGAACCTATGTAACAAGATGCTGAAAGAACGAGGTAGTTTAGAGGGCTACAGACTCAATGTAGAAGTCTACAACTCACTGTCGTCATCTTGAACAACCACGTGAGGCTCGATAATCAGACGTCGTCCGAGTTCTTCTACATCCACCGTCGTATTGTACTATACGGTTGAGGAGAAACGTACAAGAATTTGGGTATAAGTTGAAAATTTCTGTCGAGAATAAGACGGCTCAACCAACATGTGCGATTTGCTGATATCACGGCAAAAAATATCTGCCCAATCCAAACAGACCCTTTACACCCACTCACCCCCCTCAGCCGCCACGAGGCAGTGCAAGACAGCGCGTCGAGGCTGGACCGTATAAGACAAACAATCAACTAACCGTCGTCTTTTTTTTCGATAACGAGTGCCGCGTGGTTGGTGGCCATTAGGACCAACAGACTTTGTTTACACAGGCTGATCTAAGCAGGTTGTCCCGGAGCCTTTGAGAGTTGAAACACTGAAATGCTAGGCTTCAAAAAAGTGGCGGTGTTTCAGTCGGGTAAGCTCTACTCGGCGAGGAGAAAGCTTCTTTTGGAAACCAACACGTGGCAAATCGTGCTTCGGACCGTAGAAATTGTTTTCAAACCACGCTCGCTTAAAAACCCTCTCGGTGACCAGTTCGAACCAAAAATGGTACCGGCTTGACACGACTCTTCGACCTATTGGAACAAGTTTATCTGTTAAAATCTCAAGAATAAAATGCGTTCCATCAATGCTGACGTATTGGTGTCTATACGCTTGTCTCGCATACCGGAGATCCGTAACTCGAATCCCGGAATAATGATGGATACGTAATGTTGGCGAGCTCTAACGACGATGAAATCCCATTACAGTGCTTACTTCATTCGGTTTGCACCAACTGGAATAAACAGGCCAGATTTCAAGGAGGACCATTCCAAAGGCGAAGAATGGCATCCACCCAAATGGGCACTGATGATATCCCTTCTTATGGTGACGAACTGTCTGCAAGACAATCGTCATACTCAGCGAAAAGATCAGCAAGAAACCGGTATTAGTGGATTGTCTATCAGTTTCACGACCTTGTTGTATAGCAAAAGGTGATCAGTGTTTACGTTGAGGGTCCCCAATCGGCAAAGTTCCTTCGCCTTATGACCACAGTGTTGATGATGGTAAATAACGTCAAATTTTGAACAGAACAGAAATATGGGCACCGTGTGCAAGTCGGTGGGGTGTCTTCTCAATAGGCCTTCATTCACCGCACGAATCTCATAAGGAAAAACCATAAAGGTGAGTCAGAAAATTTGGCTGAACCTAAGGAGTTGGCTCAGCATTTGGGCGCTGACTGGGAAAATTGCGGGGAATTGCCTATCTTCAGAGGGCTATCTCTGAAGCGGAATTACAGTACTTTGCCAGTTTGGGTACTGATATCACAAGAGCACAGTGGGATTCACTAACCTTGCGGACGCTCTTGTTCGTGGCTTTTAGCACCGGATCATCGACTGAAGCAGATCCTGTGAGAAGCGACTGCAGCGCTGCCGCGTAGAACACACCCAAAATTTCTCTAAAATACAAAACGAGTAAGTCGAGTTTCGTAAAGCTGCTTGGATATAAAAAGGCAATGAAGAAATACAGTAAGCTTACTTGAGCGTTCATTGAACTAACCTAAATAGTCCCGGTGCGCGGTATAAAAAAGTGCACGTGAAACAGTAGAAAATACGTGGGAAAGAACTCTAACATAGTTCTTGCAAACAGTGCGGTTGACGAGCTCCCCTATGTCAGAATGCATGTCAGCCTCGTCGGCGTAGCTCGATACTGTAGTTCACAGTAAGTCAGAACAACATGTAAGTAATGACATGGGTGTATTGTGTACACGCAGTCAACTGGTCCGCTTTCGTAGCGGATAAGCAAAGAACTGGGTCACACATCCGAAGCAACTACGAAACTCGAGAGGAGGCTACTCGTCAGACTGAGAGGATCAATTTAAGGTATCGATATGATTGATAACAGCTCATTGGTACCGATTAGGTTGGTTTCATCACGTGAAGATCGGTGTGGCATTCACATACTTCTACTTGTGTATCTTCTGTTCGTATGTGATCTGAGACATGGCCGAGGCGCTCAAACGCAGAAAGGAAGACGATTAGAGTCTTCAACCGAAGATTTTGATTCAAAATCCAGACCAGGAGGAAGTCATATTCGGCGTAAAACTACCAGAGTAGTCTGACATTTCAGGGAATTAGGTTCCATATACATTCTACTGGCTCACAGGATAGAAACAACTCTAGTGTGCTGCAACGGCATGTTCCACTATCTACCAATGTCGCAAACCGTCGTACCACGATAATGTAAAATCTGCTCACCCAAGGCATAACAGTTATTCAATACGACACGTTTCACCACAGATGGATGAAACTAGGAGACGGCCAGTCTGGCCTGGTAGGCCTATGTTAAGTGGGACAGGGAAACACTAAGTGGATAGACACCACATGATCAAGGATCATCCTTCCAAATTGTGAAATCAGACGATAGGTGCTGGTCAGTTGGTTCGGTGTATCATCTATAAGCCATGCACCAAAGGCACATTGGCTCCAGCTGCTACAGCTTCCATCATTGAAAACGAGGGAGATATATCCAACCAATGGAGGCGATAGCATGATCAGTTAGTTCGTGTTGTACACTGTTGTGGATGAACAGTAAACTGGACAGCTACGTATTGAACGCGATAGCTTTGGTGTAGGAGTCCGTCACGAAGAGACT